AAAGAAAAAAAAGAAAAAAAAAAGAAAAAAAAAATGATACTATTTATGACTTAATTGGTACTATTTATGGCCCTTTCTTTTCGTTTTAGTTATTTCATTCACATGAATCCACCCACGTAAGAGTAGAATCACAATTCCAACGTCACAACAATTGAAATCTTTAACATTAGGTAGATGTTGCATGATACAAAAATTTCTTTGGCCTTATTAAATAAGTTCTTAGTTGAAACAAGACACAAAAATTAGTTCAAAATGTACCCAAATTTTCAATTGAGCTACAAGCAAAAGGTTTAATATTGTTACAACAGAGAAAACTTGTGCCACACTTGAGCTCTAATAAACGACACTGCCTACATGGTCCAGGAGTAACCGTTTCTACGACTTCTATTCAACCAGAAGGGGTTGTGACCTATAAAATTCAAACGACAACACATAAGAGAAAGAATGTCAAAATAAAAACAGATAACTACAATAACTACTGCTATACAGGGTAGATTTACAGGAAGAAAAATGCTCACAACTCAAAATTATAAATATACTCTTGAGATGAGAGGCATTACAAATATCACTTAGCAGATAAACAGATTCCCCTATCATTAATTAATTGATAACCGAGTTTCCATAATTAGTCGGTAAACTTCAACAACATTTGCTGTAAAAGTAAAACCTTCATAAAAACTAACACTTAGTTGAAGCCATCCATTATTTTAACATCTTCTGCTAAGACATTCCCTATTTTGAAACATAACAGGAATATTTTGTAATTAGATTAACTTCAAGGGCATTTATGATAGTCAATTCGTAACTCACCAATACACTATCATCAGCTGCCAGTTTCTCCAGCAACCAAGTATCTAGTTCATAGCTGAGCCCCTTCAAGTAAATTGAGCGCATCAAAACAAAAGAAAAAGGCCTGAACCAAATTGACATGAGTTACCAATCAAACAGAGAGCATCGGGTGGATGAGTCATAAGCTTTAAAATAGGTAGATTGTACTTGAACTGCAACTTTGATGAACCTAAAGTACATATAGTTTCTTACACGGTTACTATTGAAACATCCTGGCATATGCTTTTCTCTCCTGGTCTCGTCTATCAGCAATCTAACAGAGAAAAAGTGAGTCAGAAATCAGCACGACTATACTTAACATTCATGAGAAACAAATTCAATAGACGCACCTTTTTCTTCGCCGCAGAAAGTTCCTTTTTAATTGCACCTACAGCAAAAGCAATACAAAGTTAGCTACACAGTTTCAGAAGGTTTATTGACATGAATACAATTACTTGCTGCCTCACTTTTAAGTCGCGATGCACCCATAACCAGAAGACATTCAATAAACAGAAGGGCCGCTTTAACATTTTTAAGCTATTAAGGACACAGTCAAAACACGGCCATGTAAATGTCAAAACATTTCCACCCTAGTTATTTCTATAAATAAAGAGTTAGAGAAAGAGAGATGTCACAACCATCATTTGGTTCCAATTCCAATGCCTTCCTAAAACTCTCAACAGCAGCATCAATATCATTCAGAGCCACGTGTGCCTGATCAATTAGAAGGTACAACCAAACAAGTGTCAGTAACAGGAAAAAAGAAAAATGTTAAAATAGCTGAGACCTGAGGTCCATGTTCTTTGACAAATCAGAAAGTGCCATCTATAGATAAGCATAAGCTAAGAGTGAAAGAAATAAGGGAGTAATAACCAAATAAATGAGAATGCCTATTAGATACTAGTCACCAGGAACATTAGAGCATCTCCAATGGCACATTGTTCATTTTGAGATGTACAACATAGGAAAAGGAAATCAAGAAATTGCGTGTCCAATGGTTAATGTTAACTGTAGTATAATTTAACATGTGTAAATTGATTGGACAATAGAAATAAATTGAATAAATAATACATTATATAACAGAAGATGTTTAGAAGAACTTCTACACCTAGAAAGATTTCTACAAATTTTTTGATGACACATAGGATTTATTAGGCCATGTGGCAATAAAATAGAGCAATCCATGTACCATTGGAGATGCTCTTCAATTAACATGCAGTACATGTACACGATGGACAACGACAGTCGTCCTCAGTTATCAAATTGAATATGAGCACATTTTAGTTGCTTTAAAAAACTAACTCTTAGTTTAGGTTCTAGCAAAGTAACAGGCATATAACCCCAAAATAATAATGAAAAAGGGTCCATTTGTATATATAAAGGAAAAGAACTGTACTAATGGAAAACAAAAAAAGAAAACCCAACCTGGCCCTGACGGAATAATGCTTTTGCATTGTTTTCACCATCCCGCATTGCAAAGTCGGCATCCAGCAGTGCTCCTTTCAGGTCTCCTAGTTTCAGTTTACAAGCCTAGAAGAAGAAAGATGGTGTAATGTAAGGCGAAATGAACACTAATTTTTATTCTTGAAAACCGAAAAAGCCAATCTTCAGAAGTATAAAACCAAAGAATATTCACTCGTTGAGTCCAAGTAAATCAAATAATTAAAATGAACTCAAATGCCAAAACAAAAATCTGAAAAGAGACTTGGAATTTGAATGTTAAGTTAGTAGAGTAGAAATCCATGCATGGTATGATGTTCCTAACAACAGAACCATTACTTCTAAATATGATAAACTTCAGTGAAACTGAACTAGCAAATAAATAGCACTTCCTGAAAAATTAATAACATATACCTATAGTGTGTGTGTGTGTATGGGTGGGTGGGTGTGAGTGTGAACATATGCGACGAAAGAATTTGTAACTGAGTTATACCACTTCATTACATACCATAAGTGTAGAAAAAAATAATTCCATCGTAAGACGGTAGCATGAGAATAAATCATGTTTACTGAGTACACGCCGTGCAATAACAAGGTCTCAAAAAAGAATGCAACAGATATAGAAAGTACAAGGAAAAGAAAACAATGCAAAGCTCATTGAAATCAGGCATGTCATTAACGTGTTCTCCCAATCATATCCTATCAAAACAAGGGAGAAGAGCAGAGTGAAGATGTGAAACAAATTACTAGTGCCTCGGACATCAAAACTAGAACGATCATCCATTTGAATTTACCAATATTATCCTCCTTAATTTAGTGCAAAGGTGTGAAATGAAACAGTACTTCTGTATGTTTAGTTTCAAAGCTAAATAAAAGTAATCCAGTTGAATATACTAAAATCAATCAACAAATTGTGATTCAAAGAAGAAACTCACGGAGCTGTTGGTGAATATCTGTGACTTCATCTTCCTCAAATACTCACTCTTCTCTACTTCAGAAATAGAAAGTTAAAGAAACAAAAAAAAATCAAAAATCAGGTATTCATTCGTCAGAGGATAGTAGACTATCAATATACATAAATGCGACCAAATTATTAGTATAAAAGGATAAATATGATATCCACCTTCATCAATGCCATCTTTCTCCCAGCAAGTATCCAGATAACGCATGGCCTTACGGTACTTCCGGAGGGCCATTTTATAGTCTTGCTTCTGCAAAACGTCACATAAATCTCATTCATGAATACACATCAATATATAAACCAAAAGAAAAAAAAATAAAGGGGCATTTTTTGTCACAACTATTACCTTAAAATGTTCATTACCATATCCCTTGACAGACTCCACAGCTGTAATCCACCACGAGAGCTCATCAGAATTCTCACTAAGGTCAGCTGGCCAGTCGGGATACAAATCACCATCCTTGAAAAAATTTGAAATCCCATCATCCGCCCCTTCCGGAATCTCACCACAGTCGGTAATCACGACATCGACCATCGGCCGGTCGTTTTCGCCAGTGCCCACATGCTCAATCGATCGAACGACCCCCATGCCCTTGACGACCCTCCCGAACACAACATGCTTCCCATCCAGATGAGAAGTCCGTGTCGTAGTTATGAAAAATTGGGAGCCGTTGGTGTCGGGCCCTGCATTTGCCATGGACAGCATGCCCTTCCTCTCATGCTTCAGTTCAAAATTCTCATCCTCGAATTTCAATCCATATATAGACTCCCCTCCCGTACCATCACCCGCGGAAATATCACCACCTTGTATCATGAAGCTTTTAATAACTCGGTGAAAATGGGAGCCCTGAAGAGATGGATAAAATGTACAGTAAGAAAACCGTCCAGAAACTAAGCAACAGAGGCAATCAGAATTTATTTATGAAAGCTGGAATAGCAATTTATGTAACATAATCGTAAATGGTCAGTAGCTTAGCAATGTTCTAGCTTGACAAATCTAAAAATTGAAACTTTTTCAATTAGGAATTACGAGGAAACAACAGAATCAAGGAATAGTGCAATTTAAAACTGAAGAGAGAACAAATGAACCTTGTAATGGAGAGGGACGCCAGTGTTGGGACCATCACCTTTCTCTCCAGTACAAAGGGCCCTGAAATTCTCTGCGGTTCGTGGGACTACGTCATTGTACAGTTCAACGACGATCCTTCCCTCGAGCTCATCGCCGATGCTAATGTCCAGAAAGCAGCGGGGTCTCACAGCCATGGTTGCCGTTTTCCCTATTTCTTAGTTGAACTGGGTGCTCGTACTGTGGAGCTCTGTGCGGACAGAGAAGAAGGCTCGGAAGAATGTATACAGTGAGAAAACCAGAAACCCTAGTAAGTGTCGCTTTTATATTTCGAACTATGGAGCTCTCTCTCTCTCTCTCTCATTTAATAGTAATATTCAAATGCGTAGGAAGAAGGCTCAAAGGCTGTCTGCGAGAAATTTAAAGAATAACATGACCGGTGATTTTTGGTATAAATGATTTCAAAGGCATTTACCAAATTGATGAGATCTTTTTTTTTTTTTTTCCAAAATAATAGATGTATTATAAAAGGGCACAAAAGTACAAAATTACAAACTAGAAGACCTCGATAGGGTAATAAGAAAAGACCCCAACAGGGTAATGAGAAAAGAACCCAACACGGTAATGTGACAGGGGTCAACGACTCAAACCAAAAACACGGCTAGAACAACAGGAATAAGAAAGTAAGAGGACACGCCTATGGCGGGCTAGAACAACTCAGCAAACAACAAATAAAAGGAGAATGAAATACAATGCCACTGCACACTGCCTAGCTTGTAAATCAGCCCCAAACCACTAAAACACACAATAATAAAACTATATTAAGGCCCTCCACCAGATGATCGAACGAGTGAAGATCCGCAGCAACAACTAACACCCGACACGGCCCCTAGCACAAGGAACAGCCCCGAAACTGCAACAACTGTCTATACAGAAACTGAACCTCCGCCCCGAATCATGCCAAGAGTCAGTCCACCACCAACTAAGAGAACCGGAGAGCTAGCAGCCCCAGCCGGAACAACCCAGGCCCGCCTAACACCACTAGCCAAATACGGGAGTCCCGGCCCCCAATCAACCCCAAAGAGGAAAAACTGGGAAAGACCCACCCGCAGACTGAACCCACCTCCGGCAGCCACACCACTGCCCCCGAAAGGCAGCACGGAGACCGTCGGAGGCCCAGCCTTCCGACCACCACCACAACCTCGACCCCAACGTCGATACAGCAGCCCCTCCACCAGTCCAACCTGCATAGACAGAAAGGAGACCCCAAAAGCTGACCGGAAAATGCAGGATGAAATCCCCCAACCCGAATCCAACCTCGTCACCATGTCCGACGAGCCATCCAAGCCCCGATTGATGAAGCCCCATCCCGGTTTGACCCGTCGACCACCTAGGGTTGGAGCAAGAAACCGCCGTACCTCAGCTAGGAGAAGGAAATAGCAGCAAGGGAGGGCCGGTTAGTCGATGGAGGCTACGATTCCGACCTCGACATCACCGGCGGAGGCAAGATTATGGAGAGACGATGGGTTTTTTTTTTTGGTTCGCAGAGACGATGGCGCCGAGAGTATATGGCATAATCAAATCCCTTAAAATTAAATTGTTTATTGATGAGATCTACATAACACAAAAAAAAAAAAAAAAAAAAAAAAAAAAAAAAATTGTTATTATTGATTTCAGTATACTCTATATAATTAAATTATTAATTGATTAGCAAATAACTAAAATATAATTACTAAAAAATCTCAAAATCAAATATTAGATAATCATATTGCAAATTACCAATTGATTAATTTGCAATATATAAAAAACAAATACGAAAAAAATAATAATAATAGCATCACATCACCAAAAAAAATATGTGAATTACATAGAGTAAATCTTTGTCATTAAAAAATATAATAAGTGTTATTTGCACACGTTAAAAATTAACATGAATCATAGGCAATTTATTGCGTTTGTAAATATACTTTCATATCTTATCTATGAAATTGATTTAAAATATATTATGTTCTTCTTCCCCTATAAAATTCAGTATGGATCGATGTTGTCTACTCATCCTATTTTTGATTTAATTTTATTACAAAAATACATGATTTATACTTATTTAATTCAATTCAACATGAAGTGCGAATTCGGTCTAATCAAGATTGTCACTAGAACTAAGAAGCGACTCATGAAGTTGCGTATGATTCAAATAATTAAACACAAATTTGAGGCAGAATACAAGAATTATTTGGAAATCGAATTTCACGATGAGGACTTTCGAAAGATCCTTCCGGTTATTTCAAAGGAAAGATGTCATGATATTGTGAATGGTGCAATTAATTCTTCCAACATCTGGGCTGACATATGTTGCAATTAATTCGTTTGATTTACCGGATATGTTTGTTCTAAGCTTTACAATAGATCCTTTATTAGCTTCACTGAGTTTTTGCAGGTATTCGGGCAATAACAGGTAGGGTGTGTAAGAGTGACCATAAATCTTTTCCAAATGCTTTTTGACGTGCTCGCCAAGCCTTCTTGTAAGATAGTGTTACTATGCACATCTCCTTCATATCTCAAATATTGTAAGTTGTTGTGTAAGGGGTTTTCATGTTTTCAAACTTATCTTGAATGCAAAACCCCACTATATCAAACGTGGCTTGGGGTTTATCATTCATTCATGTTTAAAAGTTGCATATGTATTTGTCGATGACCTTTTTTATTTTGAATGTGGTTGCGCATCCCATCCTTGAAGGCTTTACTGACCATCGATAATTGTTGTCGACACATTTTATATAATACAGCTTCTTGCAAGATCTTACGACCATATACTGAAAATTGTGCTTTATTGCATACAAGTCTGACTCGGTTCAAGTTCTTCATCTAATTTCATGCCACTCTGTTTGTATATTATGTTCTTTTGTTCCCTTCTATGTGTTCTTCATACGAAATTTCAACAAGAGAGCATGAACAACATTTTGCATTTCCAACCAGTTGGTTGTTATCGTTTCCTCTTTCGATGAAAATACTCTCTGGCATCATTTGTAGCGGTTCAATGTTATATGACTGCACCTCTTCAAGTTTTGAAACAACTATGCTACTGAGGGTCGACTTTCTTTATCATGTTATTGACATACAAAGTGGGAATTTTTGTGTAGTCTAACTTCTTTTTTCCTCAATTCTTTATAAAAGTGCAGACTGTAGTAATATATACTAAAAGTTTGGCTTTGGATGATAGTACACTTTTACCCTTTATGAATGAGAATCATGTTCGATAAAACAAGTTCTATGTTTTCTTGTTTTTCAGATAAATAGAATGGGTCATCATCGGATGAACAGAAGATCATTCTATCAGTTACTTGCGGAACAAGAATTGATGGTTCACAATCTATATAGAAATGAACACTCCATTCGAACGGTTGTAGTGTCAAAGGTACAGTTGGTCTTGACTGATTAGTTGCACTAGTACATTTATGTATTGAACAAGATCCCAGAGAGGAGGAGTTCATTTTATACTGATCCCCGTAAACGAACTAGGCCTCAGTTAATTACTGCGTTCTCTTAACCCGTAAGATATTAAACACACATATATATGCAGTATATATTACTTTGATTCACTTGTGTGAGGTTCAGTTTGCTGGACTAATATTCTTACTGTCTTGAGTAATATTGTTGTGTGTATGATGTGTTGTTAGAATATTTACGGTCACCATGTGCATTAGTTTGATGATGTCCCTGAAGTGAGTTCATGAAAGATTACTATGTTAAACCCTGCAGGTGGAGTAAATTCCAGCATAGTAATAATGTGATGAATGAGCGCTAGCTTCGATGAAAAAAATAAGGTATTAATTAATTCTTGATTGTCAGTAATTAAATTAATTAATAGACATTATATCTTAAACATGAGGAGGTAATTTGGGTAATTATTATTGGAGTCTCAAATGTTAGTTGGGCAAGGAAAAGGGAGTGAAATAATATTACGTTAATGGACCATAATATTATTTAAGTAATTGGAGGAGTGGGTCAGGCCCACAGCTAGTCCATTACTTAATAAGCCCTATTCCTATTCTCCTAAGAATCCCTACTGTAGCTCTATATATACATAATTAGGCTCATGGAAAAAGATCAGAATTCTCCTACGTGTAATATACATCACGCACACGTCTCTTTCTCTCTCTTTCTCTCTTAGTTTTCTATTCGAGCTTTATCTTCTTCTTGTTGTTCCATCGGTACAAGTGAAGAGGTGTAAGAATGATACATTAGAAGATCCTGAAGGTAATCGATACCACGTGATCATCTACCGGAGATCCACCGGAGCCGACCGCCATAAACTGTCGGACCATCGTCGACGAGCCACCAGCAGCCGACGACCGCCGCGATGTCCGTCGAGCCCAAAGCCTGCGACGACGCGATTGAAAACCAGCCCCAGCGTTTCGATTCCCGCGACACGACCCGATCCCAGCGACATACGATCGGCCGATCCCCGCCTCGTGATCGTGTTCCCGACATCCTCGTGATGTGCTATTCCCAGCCATCCCGAATCCGACAGATTCAAAAAAATTTAAGCCGTAAGTTTTTTTACGTTAAACCTTTAGATCCGTTGCGCATAGGTTTACGTTTGCTATTGAATTTGTAACTTGTACATAACGAGATCCTCATAGATATTAACACAAACTCATGTCGTTTGTTATGGAGATTGGTTGTTTCCCTTTTTTTACCTGCTATTTTATCTTCAAATGTCTGCCGCATACTTCAATCTGCAACACCTTTCGGATTGTTTCATGTAATTCTTCAAAAATTTTTGAATCCTTATGTATTATTCCACCTATCTTATATCCCTCCTATGTTGTTTCTCTAATCCACTTGCTAGTGTAATATATGAACAGTAATTCGCTACTCATATTTTTTCATGATCAAAATAACATCAAATGAAAAACAAAAGCCTGAAATTTAAATTCGTATACACTTTTATATAAATAGCAATATAGAAGATTAGTTATATCATGTATTACATCTTCTGATATCTCTGTAGACATCGGAATTTTGATATTTTAATAATTAATATCTTTATTTATTTTGGAACATAAATCCAAGATAAATAAGATATTTAATTAATAAAGTAATTATTTCTTGCCCACCAAGTCAAATCTTAGGATAAGGAAAAAGATTGTATCGAATCATAAAAGATCAATTATATTGAAGTTTTCTTCTCCAA